AATTACATGATTAATTGATAAAAGCTAGTACTGCAAGTACTCAGTTCCAGGTCACACTAGGTCCCAGGAGCTACCCTCGCTGCGGCTCTGCAGGGAAAGTATTTTAGGAGCTGACGGGCAATTAGCCTGGCTCAGTCCCAGCTTCTGCAGAGCTGCAGCAAGGGTAGTTGCCATAATCCAGCGCAAGACAGGACTGAGTCAGCCTGCCAGCCAGCCTGCTACAATATTTACTAGTAGAACCTCCTAGGCCCCAAAGTCATTGTTGTAGACACTGTATAAATACAGAATAAAAGAGAGTGGGGTCTAAAGCAATTACATTCAAGATAGGAAAAGATTGAGAAAGGGATAGAACATAAAAATGGAGACTGAGAACTAAGGCACAATAAGATCAGACCTGACTAACGTCACAAAAGAAGCCTATGACAGAACCAGAAATTTAACCCACATTTCCTGAGTCCAGCGGAACTGACAGCCACCGCGAGACTCCACGTAAGGTGTAGGCAGTGAGGTGGCTCCATAGGACCTTGTGCAGAAGGGGTGGGGCTGAGGGAAGTCAGCCCTTAGCACTACCCCAGACCACAACATGATCCTCCCCAAGGAGATGTGCAGAGTGGTGCTCCTGCAGCAATTCAAAGGGGGCTGGGGCTCCAGCCACCGCCACCGCTGCCACAGTAGCAATGGCCAGGAGCTCTCAGCACCCTTGAATCTACAAGCCCCTGGAGAATTGTTCCATTTGCCTTCCCCCGTCCATGGACCTGCCTGATTCCCACTTCAGTGTCTTAACTGTGAGACCATCCCTTCATTCCACTGAGCACATCTAAAACTTTTAGTTGCCTACGTGCTGATTTAGACATTTAAATACAGATATAGGTCCTGATCCTTCAAAGAGCTCTACAATAGAAAAACCCCATGCCCATGCCAAGTCCCAATGTGTGTGGATGTAGAGAGAGTCTATCTGTCCCGAGCACTGCATGATTGGGGCATTAGATGCCCAACTTTAGGCACATAGATTTGAAAAGCTGGTACATAATTATAATTATAAACATATAGATATTGTTTCAGTTGTCACCCTATAAATCCATATGTTATCGAAGTAGAAATTCTGGCAAAATACTGTCAAAATCTTTAACATTCACTGTTGTTTTTTAATTTTTTGCAGCAAAATTGCATACTAGTAGAGTAAACAAAAAAGAGAAACTCTAGTGGAATCTGAAAGATGCAAAAATAGACTTAAAGATGCTCTTTTTAACATAAATATTCATAAAACATAAACTACATACAACCTGCAAGAAGCAGAAAGAATGGCATTCATTATATGATTGGTCTTACTGGTTTTTCATCTCAGTAGTACAAAGTCCCTAATTAAATAATTTATTATTGGCCATTATCTACTTCAGGTTGAGGTACAGAATTAAAAATTATTGACAACATGATATTTGATGCAAGGTATTATCTGCTTTCAAGCAATACAGACTGAGACATTTACGCTGTGTGTAAAAGTGAAGAATGTGCTCTATTTTTTGCCAGGAAAAGTCATTTTTCATATGAAACCTACTCCTCAAGCTGAAGGAAACCTTGAAGACACTGCAGCTAGGTCACATCGTGTAAAAATACCTTATCCACAGGAAATTAAATCCTCTGTGAAAAATAAAGTTGGCCTCTTTTCACTGTAGTGGCTTCAAGCCAGTGAACTAGGGAAAGGGGACTAAAATCAATATCATCTGACACTGAATAAAAATATGTGCTTATTCTGTGGCCCAAGATGTCTGTAATATTTCAGATGTTCTTTTTGCTGCGTAATCAGCCAGCACTTGCATAAATAATTCCTGCTCCACAGCTAAACTGCAGAATTCGGAACAGCTGTTCAACCCAGTGACATCTGACATACATTTTTTAAGTCTTAAAAGTCAATGATCATAATTGCTTTCTTCTTTTCTTTTCTTTCCGTGTTCACAAAGGTTTAAATCCGGATATCAATTTTCTTTCCTTCCTTCCATCAGAGATTCTATGTATAATAGTAACCAGAGGTAGGAGAAAGTAGAGAGCTTCACCACACTGCTGCAATCAAGAAAAAAAGGCCCCCCACACAAACACTATTTCTAAGATCTAGGATGGAGAAAGCACCTCTTAGCTTGTAGATAATTAACTGATTTTTTAAAATTATCTACATATGGCCACTTGTATATCTCAACCTATCTTAAGGTCATATGGAGAGTTAACTCCTACCCGCGGGATGCTGATCCGGGCCGGAGAAGTGTGGTTTTTATGTGAGTTTAGAAGGTTGAGGATTAGGGTTGTCAATTTTGGTTGGATATATTCCCAAAGGTTTCATCACATTACATAATCTTTAATTAAAAATTAATCTTTAATTCCTGGAGACTCCAGGACAATTCTGGAGGGTTGGCAGCCCTATTCTGTAGGGGCATGATCTGTGTCAATGCAGAGTTCACTGCTCAAGTAGATAGAATGTGCAGAGGCTGCTTTACAGATCATCTACATCCATTTCCCTGAATCGCATTGCAGATACACCAGGGGGTTCCACAGAGCAGAGGGACAAAGGTGCATGCATGGGCCTACCACCATTAGGTGAATTCTACCCACAGACAGCAAGAACATTTCAAATAACATTTCATAATCCAAGTGAATATTAAATTAACAACTGTGATCTCAAAGGCCTTGTTTAGATGCTGAATTCATAGGGAAGCTTCTCTTTAGCTCAGGGATGGGCAAATACTAGCCTGTAGGCCAAATCCGATTTGCCAGGGTTAGCCCTTAGCGAGCTCCCACACTAACATATTTACCTGTACCACTGCAGGTACAGGGATAGCAGCTCCCGTTGACTGAGGACCGCCATTCCTGGCCAATGGGAGCTGTGATCACCTGTACCTGTGGAAGTGCAGGTAAATACAGCAGTAGTGGCCCACCAGGGGGCTCACCCTGGTGAACTGACACCATTGTATTGCCCACCCCTGCTTTAGCTGGTAGCCATGTTACCCAGTCTTCCCAGGAAAACAGAATTTGAATTCAGGCTGTAGCAGGTACAGTAAATGAAGCAGCATAAATATTTTTATCTTCTTTATTTCCAAATATGTTTTTCTAAATCAGTGTTTCCCAATTGGTGCTCCAGGGAACCCTGGGGTTCCGCAAAGCAAAACTAGAGGTTCTGCGAGGAGCTGGCACTCCCCTGCCCCCTCTGAAAGAGAGAGAGAGAGAGCCAGCTAGCCAGGAGAGGCATGGGCGGTGAGTTGTATGGGTTCGTGGTGCCCATGCTCCACCAATATTTGGAGCTGGAGCGGGCCCCGGCCCTTCTGCATGTCCTCCCACCCCGGCCCCAGAGCGTCTCTCCCCCAGCCCCATCCCTGGCCCGTCCCTGCCATGCGCAACCTTCACTGAGCTCCCCCTTGCCAGCTGCAGCTACCCTGCACGGCATGCTCAAACCGGTGGGTGGGGAGACACCTGGGCATGACGTAACGTCATGGCCCGGGATTTTAAAAGTGCTGGGCGCTGCGTTGCACCGCGCGGCTGAGTTGCGGGTTTGGAGTCCGGGGACGGAGCGCAGACTTCAGCCCCGCAAAGTGGAAGGCAGAAGGTAGGGGAAGGGGGGGGGCTGGG